CCCTTGTGGTCTCTTTCAACTCTATGATTCTATGATTCTATGAACATTTCTCATCTGGAAGAAGGGCCTCTGTTGAAGCTGCCCATTAGCACATCGGAAAAGCCTTGCTGGATCAGATGAAAGGACTGTCTAGTCCAGCATCCTGTTTCTGTCTGGTTAATTTGATCCATCTATGCTCACTTTGGCGTTGTTGAAATCATATCCCCAATCATGGAGGGAGGAGGGACAACCTAGCTCTACTGATTGGGCAAGATGTGCACTCTGTACATTCTCAGAAACACCCCCATGCTCCACTTTGGAATTTAATCATGACTGAGGTTAAGTTCTCTTATAGTCACCCTTCCTGTTTGCATAGTTGTCCTGTCTTTCAGATATTTTGCTGTTTTATATACTATACCTTGAGAAAAATTGGGCAGGACATTTTCTTTCTGCCTGTCAAAAACTGAGTGTCAGGAAAGAGATGTGCAACAAGTTCCAGTGCAGGGCCACCTCCAAATTTGGAGGCAGAGATGCATTTGGGTGGAAGTGCCACAAATAGTGGTGGGTGTCTTGGTGTAGCTCCATTTTAATGGCTCACAATGCTTCGAAATAATACTATCTATGGTGAGGGAATGGCAACTAACTTGTAGACACTTTGGGATGCTCAGTATCACAGAATCTTAGAGTCAGAAGGGACCCCCAAGGGCCATCTATTCCAGCCTGTGCCATGCAGGAATCCACAACTAAGGTACTCCTGAAAGGTGCCCATCCAACCTCTGTTTAAAGATGGAGAGTCCACCATCTTCTGAGGCAGTCAAGCAGCACCTAAAGTGAAGAAGTTCTTCCTAATGCTTACATGGAATCTCTTTTCTTATCATTTGAATCCCTTGGTTCATGTTCTAGTTTCTGGAGCAGCAGAAAACAACTTCACATGACATCCTTTCAAGAAGTTAAAGGTGGCTTTCACGTTACCTCTCAGTCATTTCTTCTCCAAGCCAAACATCCCCAGCTTCTTCAGTCATTCCTCATTAAGGTTTGGTTTCCAGACCGTTGATTGTCTTAGTCGCCTTCCTCGCCGCATGTTCCATCTTGCTAATATCCTTTCTTTACAACCATTATGCCACAGGCTCATTTTAAAAACTGCATCCTTGAGAACCATCAGTGGCAGCCCCAGCTTTAGATTCCTGCAGTAGCCAGGAGTTGGATTAGATGGCCTCTGGGGTCCCTTCCAACTGCATGAACCTATGAGCCCAAGGATGCTGGGTTGCGACCTAGAGAGGCTGGATGTCCTGAGGAATCACCCCCTGTCTTACTTTCTCCTTCTCTGGGGCGGCTTCCATCTTCTTCCTCTACATCAGCGATTCCCAAACCGTGGTCCTCCGTGCGTTTTGGACTTCACCTCCCAGAAGCCCCAACCAGCTTAGTCAGGAAAGTCAGGAATTCTGGGGGCTGAAGTCCAAAACATCTGGAGGACCAAAGTTTGGGAATCACTGCCCTCCATTCATACCCTGCTTGTACCACGAAAGAAAAGAAATCCCATTATGCTTTGATATTAATTTCAGAAACTACTCCTTGGGTGTTAAGGGTGCATTTTAATTTTTAGAGCTAGCGAGGACTATCCAAATAAAATGTCCATAATTGCAAGGTCTGAGCTTTGCAAAGGGCTCCCAGCGTTTTGAGTCGCGATGGCTTAAAATGGATTAGTTGCTGTAACATCCTTTAACAATCTTTGTGGACTCTGCGGAGTGGCTCAGTTGGAGGAGAAGACAGCAGACGACGGAGCTGGTCCTTTGTGCCCGGAGAGTTTTATTCTCCTCCCGAATTTCCAGATTATATGGGTGGGTTGCAGATGGGTTATGGAGATCTCCCCAGCCACGTGGGAAACGCCCCAGATGGCTGGCTCCCCATGTGGTCCCATGCCTGCCAGGATGAGTTACCCCCTTGGCAAATGGATGCATGAATGGCGTGTCTTCCTCCAACTGAGATGCTTAAAAAGAGATTTATCTGGCTCCTGTCCATTCCCAGATCTTTTTTTCTGAACGGTCATCCTCAGCAAAGATGAGACTCCTTGCTTGCACCCAATGAGGCATGAGTGGGGTGCAAGCAAGGAGTCTCATCTTTGCTAAGGATGACCGTTCAGAAAAAAAAAAGATCTGGGATTGGTTTTGGAAATTTGGGGTTCAGTAGGAAAGTCCTAAGCCCTGCACCCCCAGTTCAGCCAAGGATGGAATCTGGGGCTCATAATCTTGGTGCAAAAAGTGGTTGAGGCTAAACTGGATGTTGTGTTGTTCGGGTTGTGGATCTTCAAGACCTTTCCAAAGTCCTGCAACCCAAAGGCGACCCTATCCTGGGGTTTTCTTGGCAAGATTTGTCCAGCGGAGGCTTGCCGTTCCCTTCCCCTGAGGCTCAGAGAGTGTGACTTATGCTGACCCTAAGGCAAGTCTATCATGGAGGTTTCTTGGCAAGATTTGCTCACAGGAGGTTTACCATTTTTTCCCTGAGGCTGAGAGAGCGTGACTTGCTCTGACCTAACTAAGGCAAACCTATCATGGGGGTTTTCTTGGCAAGATTTGTCCAGAGGAGGCTTGCCGTTGCCTTCCCCTGAGGCTGAGAGTGTGTGACATGCCCAGGGTTGCCCAGTGGGTTTCCATGGCTGCACCGAGATTCGAACCCTGGTCTCCAGAGTCATAGTCTAATGCTCAAGCCGCTACACCAGTCTGGCTGGCTCTGAGGTTGTGTATCATCACAAAAATGTCCACTTAATTGTGGCGGGCCCATTAGGCTCTTGGTGTGTGAGGTGGTTGTATTTAATTGGCTATTGCTTTATTTTTAATGTGGTTAATATGCTCATAACTGTTCTTTTTAGCTCCTGTATTTTTGTGCTGCTGTGTTTTTATGACTTTTCTGTCGGTTTCAGTATGATCTGCCTGGCAGGATTAAACACAAGCACATATGCAATGTTTTTCATACTTGACATACCGGTAAATTGTGGTGGTTGTTATCTTCTTTCAAATCAGCTCTGACTTTAGTGACCCTCTTCTAAGTTTTTCCTGGCAGGACTTATTTGCACCATCTGAGGATGAGAGAGTGTGACTTGCCCCAGATCCCCCAATGGACTTCCACGGCTGAGTGGTGATTCGAACCCAACTCTCTTGGAGTCCTAATCCAACACTCAGACCACTATAGCATGCTGGCTCTCTAAAAGTAATTTATAGCAACCCTCTGCTATAGTTTTCCTACCAATATTGACTCAGAGGATGTTTGCCATTTCCTTCCTCTTTTAGGCTGAGAGCGTGTGACTTGCCCAAGGTCACTCAGTGAGGAAACCCATTGGGTGACATTGAGCAAGTCACATACTCTCAAGCCTAAAAGAAGAAGGCAGTGCTGCCACACTGGAGAATGAATGCAGTTTGATACCGCTTTAACTGTCACGGCTCCATCCTATAGAGTCCAGGGATTTGTAGTTTGTTGTGGCACCAGAGTGCTTGTGACAGGGGAGGCTAAATCTCTTCACAAAATTACAAATTCCAGGATTCCATCATATCGAGCAGTCAAAGCGGTATGAAACTGGATTATTTCTGCAGTGTAGATGCAGCCCTAGTCTCCCGGAGCCCTAGTCATACACTTTGCACAATAATGGGGCTGTTCTTGAAATAAATATTAAATATTAAATATTAAAAAATATTAAATATTTCCATTCTTTTGAAAACAGGAGTTCCTCGTTCTCATAGATATGGAGAAAAGCTTCAAGAAGCAATTGCCTCTGTATTGCTTTCCTCCAACTAGATAATTCTAGATACTATTTCTCTCCCGATTTATTCATCTTTTTGCCAATTCTAACAACTTCGGCTGCCTCCCTTCCAACAACTCAACACCTTCGAGTAATCTCCCTGCACCTAGACGTGCTTTTTCTAAAAAGAAATAAATTATAGTTTAATCTGGAAAACGTTTGCTCAGAAGCAGATGACGCAGTTTGTAGTTTGCACTTACTCCAGGCAAAGAAAGGTTTAAGAGTCTCAGGACAACATGCAAGAAAAACCATTTTAAAAACTAATTTAAAACTATATATAAAAAGAATAATCGGTCTATTGAACTATATTGCAAGTTAAAAATGATGGAAATGGTGAATATATACGAATTGGAGGATTAAGAATCTCAAGGCAACCTGCAAGAAAAGCAGTTGTTACAAACTCATTTAAAATTGTAAAAAAGAATAAAAAGTGTAAAGACTTACTGAACTATATTGCAAGCTAAAAACGATTGAAACGGTGAATATATACAAGTTGGATAAATGCATTAGAGCCCAAAGCCATGTTCTTAATGAAAAGCCATATTTCGCCTTGGCAACAAAACCATAGAATTTTTGAATTTGGAGGGACCCTAAAGGTCATGTAGTCTAACCCTCAACTAAAATCCACAACTGAAAAAACTCCTGAAAAATACCCATGCGACTTTTTCCTTAAAATTTCTAGATAGTTTACAACCTTTGGAGACAGTCTGTACCATTGTCAAACTGCTCTTAAAATAATAAAAAAAGGTTCTTCTTCATGCTTAGATGGAAACTCTTGTAATTTGAATCCAAATGAAGCCACCATCCATGACGGTTGGGCCAAGAGCCGAGGAAGACTGTGTAGCCTCGATGTCTAGTTTGACTTTCGCAGGATGAAAAATTGGGGAATAAGATATCAAACTGACAGATCTGTGTCTGGGGAGGTGGAACGGAGGAAGGTGGACTTTTGGCCTCGAGGAAAAGTAGCTTGGATTATTGTGAGTTGCCATTTAGTGGACTGACCGGAGGATATTGTGGTTGAGTTGAGTGTGTGTCCATGCTGGCTGGCTTTGTCCAGGGTTAGGGTTACACATCTCAGGGGTGACAATGACTTTGGCTCATGTTGTGTGAGAGCTTGGCTGTGTTGTGCAATACACAAGGAAAATGGAGGCACGGACCAATTCCATGCAGGTAAAATTCATGGTGGCTGCAAGACATAATCTCCGCATGGCGGCCACTTCCTTGTGGCAAGAGCCTTTGGGAACCCTGGCTTCTTCTTGTCCCCTCATTCGGTGATCAGGATGCATGCGGACAGTGGTGTAATGGAGCCAAGGCTTGCAGGATCAAGGACTCAGGACCTTTTTTGGACTATGACATCCATCTGCCACTTTCCTTGGACTCCCATATTCCTTTCAAATTTAATTGCAATATCCACAGTAGCTGGAGGGGGAATGGATTTTTCCAGTATTGTTACAAGTTGTCCTTGTAATCCAAGGCATTTCAGAGGGGCTTAATACAGCACGTCCCATTAGCTTTACAAAAGATCTGCCCTTAGTGGAGATGATCTATCTGTCTAACCATCTATCTGTCTATTTACCTACCTTCCTACCTACCTGTCATTTTTGTCTACATACCTATTGTCATCTATCTGTCTACCTATTGATAGATTAATTGATCAACCTAGCTCTCTATCTATCTGTCATCTGTCTACCTACCTACCTACCTTTCGGTTGTGACCTTGTTGTGGTTGCATGCCTTCAAGTCAATTCGGACTCACAGCAACCCTAAAGCAAACCTATCAAAAGGGTTTTCTTGGAAAGATTTGTTCAGAGAAGGTTTGCTACCATTGCCTTCTTCCAAGGATGAGAGAGTATGACTTACCCAAGGGAGTTTCCATGGCTGAGCAGGGGTTCGAATCCTGGTCTCCACAGTTGTAGTCCCAGGCTCAAACCACAACACCTACAAAGCCCAAAAGAGCTTAAGGATCTCTGAAAGAACACCTTTTCCCAAAATGTGAGACCCTCAATGCTTAAAGCCTGCTGCATCTCCCAACACTTTGTGAAGCTAGGCTGATGGGTTACACATGACAAGGATTGCTCTGGAACAGCGCTTCAGCTGTAGAGTTCCCTTTTAAGGCATATTAGACTTATTACTTCATCTATTTTGAGCTTCTGGGTTTAATAAATAAAGGGATATATTCAGTTTTCTCTTTTAGGACCCAAGGTTAGCATACGGTTTCCTCTGGTGAGCTTGTAGTTCTCCTTCCCCTAAAAACATTGCACCACTTGCCTTAGCCTGGGACTTTTCGTCAGGACCTCCATCCAGAACAGGGCTGCCAGATTTCTGGATTTTTGTGGTTCATCTCCAGATTGAGAGACAAGTGCAAATTCTCCATTTTTGGCAAGTCTCCATTTCAGCTGATAAAGCAACAGCATCCTACAATTTGCAAGGCTTAACTGATTTGTTGCAAAGACTCTTGGTAGGGAGATATGTGTATTTAGTTAGTTGGATGCTGTTTGTCGCCTTGAGTCCCTATATTGGGAGAAAGGTGGGATATAAATATGATGATGATGATGATGATAGATCCACTCTTCTCTCCCAGTTGTTGTAGTGCCAGGATTCACCTTCCACTCTGCTCCTTATCCATCTTCTAGCTAAAAGCAAGCAAGCTCGATTAAACGTTCCTTATGTTGCCATGAAAACCCCACAATAGGGTCCCTATAAGTTGGAAACAAAGGCACACAACAACAACACAATCCCATCTTACTAAGGGGGGGGGGTTGCAGACTGCCAGAAATAGTGCAAATTGAGTCCACTTTTAGGGTTAGAGTTAGGGAATCATGGGAACTGTAGTTTATTGTGGCACCAGAGCTCTCTGACAGAGAAGGCTCAATGTCTCAGGGGAAAAAAACACAATTCCCATGTTTCCCTAGCACTAACCCTAACTCTAAAAGTGGACTCAAGTTGCACTATTTCTGGCAGTCTGCAACCCCCTTTAGTAACCAAGAAGGAACAACCCTTGATCTAGCAATAATAGCCTCTTCAGTTAAAATGTCTGTCTTTTTCCAGACAGGATTATATGTTCTTTTTCCCCCTTTGTGTTGTGTGTGTTTGAGAGGCTGTAAGCAAATATGTTTGGGACTTAATGCACAATGCTTAAAAACATCACCAGGGGCCATTGTCCCTAGAATTTAAAGTTTTGGCCTGAAAACTAAGCCCTGGGATGATCCTAAATGGGCAACCCTGCTATGAAAGCCCCTTTTCCAAGGGCGGCCATTTCAGGTGCGTTCCCATCTTTGGCACCTGCAATCCCCATCTCCTCCTCCTCATCTCTTTTTCCTTTTTCCTTTCCTCCGTCTCCATTTTCTCTCTCTTTCTCTCTCTGCTTTTCTCCCTCCGCCGTGTGACTTGTCCCCTGCTACGGCCGCATTGTGTTTACCTAGCCAAGCGTGTAACCTCTTCACATCGTGGAGTAGGAATTAATGATTTTTCCTCTCCTTTTCTCGCAACGACAAGCGGCCGCGGCGGAACACGGATACCCCATTTTCCCCAGAAACCCCAAAGGCACCGCTTTGGGTCTCCTAACAAAAGGGTTGAATCCCAGAGATCTCTCCTTAGCTCGGTTTTGTGTATGCCAGGATGGGCAAGGATAGATATTATTTTGGGGCCTCAGCACTTCCAGAATCCCCAAAACGACCTTTTTCAAGCCAAATCAAGGGAGCGAATTGCTGGAGAAGTAAGCTTACTTACCTTTTAAATACACTTCAAGGTCTTCTTATACTGTTTAACATAAAAACCCTCTCATTTTGGAGGACCAAAGTGGACTTTCGTCCAGTTTGAAGGTTTTTAAAATAGAAAGTTTGAGTTTGAAGGGACCACAAGGGCCGTGCAATCTCACCCTCTTCCTCTGCAAAAATCTACAATTTCCATGTTTTATTATTCACTAAATAGTC